GACCGCCATTTTGGAAAACGACTTGTGAAGATGGAGCAGCTAGAAGAGCGAGGTGCGCGAGAACGCTGGGACCCTTTTTCCACCTGGATCTCCGCTCTTTTTGGCCCTCATGTCCCTCCATTGTCGCACAAACTTGCCGCCACTTCCTCACCGCCTCTGCCGTATCTAGACCCACAGCTAGTTCCTGATTGTCCCTCTGGCGTTGTGGCGTGGAATAACAGAGCGCAGACCATGCTTCATTATTGGGCATAGATCAAAAATACCTGCTACGAGCTCATTGCGACGTAGCTACTGCTGCAGGACGATAACCAGCCCTTCAGTCCTTGAAGTGACCGACCCGGGTCCTTTATTCATTAATTTAATCAGGACAGAGCACATTAATGAACAATCTTATACTTCTGTACTAGGGCTGTCAGTTTTAAAGCGTTATTAACGCGTTAACCGCTTTAGACTATAACGCCGACATTTTTTTTAACGCACGTTAATCGCGCATCAAAACAAACGCACCGTTCGTTTGTTTTCTTTATTTTTCCGCAGCGCTCGCTGTACTGTTTGTTTTACCCTCGGTGCTTTCCAAAGCTTCAGGAATGCTAAATGCGGGAGAGTCCGCACCATAACAGACCCGTGCTTTGAATGGGCAAAAATGGCCAACAGACAAGGTTTCCTGAATGATACGTTTCTTTTTTAAGTTATGCCAGAAGGCTCTCTTGACAAAACCCAAGTCGTCTGTCTATGTTGTCCAGAAGAAACGAGCGTCTCACTGGCTTAGTGCCAACAAGACAAAGAAATGAACTAAGTCATGTGGAAAGCGCTGCTGCTGCACTTCCTGTTCAGACCAAAGGAATATTAAAGCATTTTGAAAATGTTCTACATGTAAAATGTTATGTTGCTGAGATGCCTGCAAAGCCCAGTTATTGTAATTTCGTCTGATTTATTTATTATTTTTGTGAGTAAATTCATTTCATTTTAATTAAGTCTGTATTTCATAACGGAATGTGCACTTTATTTTAACATCTTTATTTTTGTCCTATGTTTGAGAAAAAATTAAGCTTACGGAGTACTTTGAAGTACTTTTTACTGTTCTGTAGTTTTGTAAAGTTTTGATGGAAGCATAACGCCTAATTTAAAATTTAGAATTTAAACCAGGATATTTTTATTCTAGTTTCTTAAAAGTGCTTGAAAAATTATGCTAATAAAAAAAAAAAATTTTGTATAAGCATGTGTTTTTTACATTATTGCACAATTGCATTTTTAAATGGCCAAATAAAATAAATAAAAAGATAAAATATGCGATTAATCTCGAGTTAACTGTTGATAATATGCGATTAATCGCGATTAATCACAATTTTTAATAGTTTGACAGCACTATTCTGTACAGATTGTAAATGAGCCAGATTGTAGCATAGTTGCTAATTTACATCTTTCATCTTGAGGCAGGAAGACAAAACAACACAAGATCATATGATTCAATATCAGTCAAAACACATAGACACGCGTTCAGACGATGATATTACAACAATAAAATTAGTGAGTGCATGACTGGGAGCTTTTAAGAAACTGTTTAAGGTGCTTTTTAAATGTGCAATAAGTGGGACATTCCCTGATGTTTGTTCCAGAAGTGACCCAGAAGTGAAATTTGAAAATTTTCAAAATTGAGCATATTATATTTTTCCAAAATATTACACTGATGGAATGACGGGGGCTTTTGATCAAAGATTTTTAAAGATTTTTTGAATAATATTTCTATTGGTTTTAAAGTTGTGTCCTTCGCTCCATGTCTCCCCCCTCTCTCTCGTACCCCTTTTTTTCCCCACAAAAATGAGCTACTAATGTTATTCAAATAGTGCTGCAGTTAGGAAGGAGTCAGGACCTGGGAGCAAGATGCTTCCTAGCACTAATGCAGTTAGCATAGGAACCTCATGATCTTCCTAGACACGGCTAGGAGCTTTATTGTTTCCCATAATCCTTTGGGTTACAGACCACCTAATTGACTTTGACAAAATGTCTTCACTGTGAGAAACCCTAATGTTCACACCTTCGCATATGTTGGGTTTTATGATGGAAAGCTTCAGCTGCTCTTAGCTTTTGGTTAACTTTTGTTTTCTGTTGTTGTTTGTCTGTAGTCTGCTGGTGAAGATTCTCAGTAATCCAGGTTATAGTCATTTCAAAAAAGGTTTTAAAAAACAACCCACTGGACTTTGTTTCCAAGTTTGAAGATGTTTCTCTTCCCATCCAGGAAGGTTTTTCAATTCAAAATGTCAGGAATAGCGTTGAGTTCCAGGCTTTATAGTCCGAACTCGCCCAGCGTAATTATTGCACATGTCCTCATGTGAGCTCCTTTCCTAACCTGGATAGTGTTCTTACTGCTGGCCCCATGAAACGTGAAGGGATAGGAGCTAGGAACTACAATGTGAGGTATTAGGAAGGAGTCGCTGCAGGCCTCAGTTAGCAGGTGAAAGGGCGTGACAGTGAACCAGTCTGCGTGAGAAAGTCTCACTTCTCTAGAATCAAGATGGCAGCAGAGCCTAGTGGCTAGCAGAGCTGCATCTGGATGAGGGACAATATATAGAAATAGAAATTAAACTTTATTGATCTCACAATGGAGAAATTGACTCATTTAAACCATCCCCTTGCGGATGCAGTGGGCTGCCATTGTGCGGCGCCTGGGGAGCAGTGTGCTGTTAAGGGTCTTGCTCAGAGACCCAGATTTGAGGCTGTGGGGATCAAACCGGGTACTTGCAACCTTCTCAGAGCACAAGCGCACTGCTCTAACCACTAGACCAACACTCCCCCGCCCTCCATCTGGGATGATGACCTCTGGACAGAAGCAACTGAAGATGTAATTAAAGACAATTTAACAATCACTGGTCTTTCAAACCACTGGATTATATTATTTTCAACAACTTCTATCATAATCCCATTCCTATTTTTCTGTTTGTTCTGTTCTGGATTTCAGTTTCCATCTCATTAACCTCCCCTTCCCCACTGATGAACAATAAACCTTCTCTCTCTTCTCAGGCCTTCCGGTTCTAATCTACTCTGCAGAACCAGAACCAAGCAGGTAGAAGCAGCTCTCAGTTCTTAAAGGAATAGTACACCCAAAACATGATTAGCCTTCATTTTCTACTCACCCCCATGCTGAA